CTATTAACCAGCAGTTGACTTCTGACTTCAAACTATCATCGCCCCACTGTATACCATATTCGACCTCTTCCACAGTACTCATCGTGCATTTTCTCTGCATTTACGTTTGCCTGTCTCTTTTACATCTTTGAATCATTATTCTGTCCTCCCCCCCCCCTCTCGAATTTTTGTCCCTTTGATGTTCCTCCTCCTCTCTGTGAAGCCTCGAAGTCAGCTAAAGGGCTAATGATAGCTATCAAAAGTCTGTCATTTGAAATTAATAAACAAATAAACATTCTCTGCTTCTCCATCACACTATTTAAAATGTAAATTTTCAACCCAATTTACTAAATTGGAATGGAACTTAGTTGGTAGTTAAAGAAAATTCGTGTGCCTGTTGCTGAGAAGTGCATTCAAGCATTAACCTGGTGGTAATGGATAATATTCAGAAAGCTTCAGGTTGAGGTTTTCTTAGCTCTTTTTTACCATAATAGTCCATCATTGTGTTCAAAGGATTGAAATGATGCGCATTGGAGAACCTCTACACTGTTAGCTTATGAAAGCAGTTTTATATCTTAAGATAGTGTGAGGGAAATAAAAATATATGAATGTTCAATAAAACTGATTTTTTTTGTAAGTGAAAAGAACAAATCAGCGGCATTGACAAGACGATCACTTCCAAAGGATTACTAATGTTTCAAAGGAAGGTAATAAGCACAGCCGTTTAGGAAGTTCTTTTAAAAGAAATATCTCGTATAATTTAAAGAAGCACTTGGTGTTGACTTCAACTATTTGGTCCAAGTAACAACTCTCGTCGTTGTATCCGTTTCCATTACAACATCAGACTGAGAAGATAGATGAAGTAGTGGTGAAATGGCATTGATGATACTGCTGAATAGATTTGGATTGTTGAATTCCTCTGCGGTAAGCATCTCCTTCAGTCTGTTTTGTTCCACTCGTGTTTGTTCACATATTGGACAGATTGTCTTCAGCACAGGCAACTTGGCCTAAGTGTACAATAAAATCATACAGTTCATACCGATCCGGTTGGATCTACTTAAACGAAATTCGGTTAAAAATCTTAATAGTTTTAATAATACCGACTTTAATTTCAAGAAAATTGAGTCAATTAGCGCATTAGAGGACTTTCTACTTCAATAAGTCGAGAGGAAAATCAATTACCTGTAGCGTGTTGGGTTGAAATTTCCCATTTCCATGAAAATCTTGAAATTTCTATCTAACTTACATTGGCAACGAATGACGCGATTGCGTTTTCACGACAGAAGGCAAGTGGACGAATAAGTCGCAGATTAAGGTCCCTGGAAAGATGGCAAGTGGAAATAATTCATAAATATTTGTTTATGTTAACGTGGTGTAAGAACTACGATAATATTCTCTAAATCTATAGTTTTAGCAATATTGGAAATGCAATTAATAGAAATATTCAAAATTGTCTACCTGAACAAATGTGAAAATTTCATGACACCCTCAAAGAACTCCCTCAAAGTCAATGGAACTGACTTCTATTTGATGTTCATAAAACAAATAAAATGCTCATTTTCACTCACGTCGTGCTAATGACTGTGCCATTCATTTTTCAGTGCTCCTTCCAAATGATCATTTTCTCTCATTTCCCCTCCCCTCCCCTCCCCCCTCTATCCAAATGTTAACATTTAGTCCAAACCAAGGTCTTCTAAGTGAGGGCTGATTTTTTTAATATATTCTTCTATTAGAATAACGTCCAATTCTTCGTTAGAATCAATTCGAAATTGCTTGACCCCTTAATGAAATTCACTGCCTTAAAAGGCGTTATGGTAGTAAATTAAAATGGATCGTGTTTTTTTTTTAAACAATTTAAGTAACTTCTCAGTTCTTACCATTTCATTCTGAATTCTTCATCTCATTTGGGTTATACCCCAATTCACCAGACCAAATTCTTATACAACTCCTCTAATGAATCCATACTTAATCACTTGACAACTAATTAGTCAATCAAACTATTGGCAAAAACGTGGATTCATTTGAGTCTCTGATCTGAGCAAAGAACATCTCAAGCAACGTGCTTTGTTCTGTCGTTCAATAAAAGACTATGCAAGTATCAATGTTTCAGAAGATACGATTAAATGCTACTATTTAATCTTTCCATGAGAGGTAAAGGCCTTGTCTCTGGACACTGTCAAGATGATTTTGCCATAATTATGCCTCATCATAATGCTTACTTGAGTTCTATATTGGCTTCCATTGTTTGAATACTTCCATTATTGAATACTGAGGATAAGAAGCTAAAAGCAAAAGAGAGGTAATGGAAATAGCCTTGAACTCACCTGGCTGCCATTTCATCAAGATTTTGAGCCAGAGCAAGAACATTATACCCATATCTTCGAGCAACATTATAAATTACCCTTTGTTTCACGCTTGAGCAGAGATCAAAGGAGTGCGAACAGTGAGTATTTATGTCTGCAAAATTAAAGTCCACTTAAGTTAGTTGTACAACTTTAATAAACCGAGATAGTGCGTCGAAAAAAAATAATGTGCAAACCTTGTCTCTCATAGAAGTGTGTTACTCCTAGGGCTTTAAGGTAACTGACTAGAGGTTGGAGATCATAGTTCTCATAGGGTAAGGCAACGACGACTGCAGCTATTTCGAAAATGTTTTTATTTGTTGGATCGGTGTTCTCCTGCAGGAGGATATTCTGATATTCATGCAGGCAATGAAGAAGAGCCATTGAAGATTTACCACCGGAAAGGTGGACAAGAACCTTGTCTCCAGGATGAATCATTGAGAATAGACGAATGGCCTAGGTACAAAAAAAGTGCTTTCTTAGCAGGTGTTCCCACTGATGGTGTATTGAGGTGGAAATCAAACCGTTAGATGCTATCTTTGGTTAGAGATTAATTCTAGGGCACGATTACACCAACAGATTAGGGATTAATAAAAAAATAGATCTCCATGCGCAAAATATCAAAAATGAAAGTGAATATCACCGGTTTCGTTAACATTTCAGTTTGCATGAGGTGGGCTGCAAAGTTTAATTGAAAGAGGAATAAAGTTGTACTAAACTAAGTGCGATTATATAATGAAATCGTAAAAATGTCCTGGGAAATTTATTTCGGCGCGAGAATTTGCCATCTTCAACAGAAGTCAATCGGCCCAGGATTTACAAATATGATAAATCCAGTAGCAGATACGACTTTCAACGTCTTTTCTAATTACTAGTCAATCTATGGCTTATCCACCAAGTGAATAAATGACAGTTTTCAAGCGGTAATAATGAAACTCATCTGCATTACCGTATTATCGTTCCTTTCGGGAAAAAAACGGAAAAGTTTTACATTTTTAGACACATAGATTTCGTAAAAACAGTCATTTTTACTTTCTCAAGAACCAGCATCAATAGAAAGGGAAGGTGTGCAGCAACAGTGATATATGAGTGCATTCCTGCTTAAATGACATTGTAGATTGACAAATTTCAAATCAATAGATTCGTTTCAATAAATGGCCTTTTTGATACTTCATACTATTCATAAATTAAAAGTACTTGGAATTGTAAACGTTACGATTGAGTTACAATGATTGGATCATTTAGTCTTGGGCAAGTTAAAATGTAGCATTTGTTAGTCTCTTCAAAAAATAGTCAGTAATTCACCACATTTCAATCCCGTCTAAATATACTAATAGTTGCTTTTGGCTATCATCCTCGCTGAAGGTGTTCGAGGCTAGTAACCTCACCAGATAGCGGGGGAATACTTTCCAGGAAACTGACAACCAGGAGCTCAGAGTGCATAGATAATCAGATTGGACTTGAACTATGTGCAGCCAAAATACCATTCTGTCTGAGTCAAAAGTTTCCATTGTGACAACTTATAAATGCTTCCAGTTTCATCTTTTACTTCCCTACCTTTACCCTTCTTCCTTCTTTAAGGACTAATTACTTTGAACAAGGTTCAAACCTTCATACGTTGATTAAATAAAGCACATCTAATCTACCGATTATCGAGTCAACGGTCGTAAAAAAATTATAATCATTTGCCTTCTTTTAATTCACCGTTAATGCTGCACACATGTGAGCATAATGCAAAGATGAGGAGTCCAGTATACACGCCTCCATAATTTCAGTAGAAATTGGATTGTAATGATAATTCAGTTCAAGTCATGCTAATCTAATCAAAATCAAAACTTGTCTTCCGATCCTACATTTCGTTTATGTATATGTGTGTTTAATATATATGTGTCTGTGTTTATTCTATGTAAAGGTTGAGAGATTTTTCCATTTTTTAATTTTAAAAGATTTTTGAGGGAGTAGGAAGAGTAATTTTACAAAGACTCTAATTAAATCTTCTTTGAAAGTCTTTTTTTACTATCCACAATCCAATATCCCAAACATAAGAAGAAAAGAGTGCAAGTTCTTGTTTTTACAACGTAAGGTTATAACAATGCCACTCAAACTATGCGCAGTATAGCGTAATTAATTTTAGTTCATGAAAAACACTTAAGATGTAGACGCGATTTTCAATAAATGGAAACGATCCATAAAATAGAATATTGATTTCTTCGTGGGATAATATATTATAATTGCGCAACAAAAACAAAGTTTCACTTTGAATGAACCAATCGTTCCACTATGAGTTAGGAAACGCATTCATATTTCAAATAACGATATTAAAATAAAACCCAGAATTCGTGCTCATAAAATGGGCTTAAGGGCCATTTCGAATAATTTTGATTTCAGTTCGAAGATTAACAGAATAAACTTAACTTTTGTTATTGAAAATTTAAAAGGAAATCTTTATTGCAAATCCTATTTTATTAATAAGATAAAATTTATTTTGAATCGAAGTAAATGTTGGCATGAATTAATGAACTCAAAATTTTAACCTGCCTATCATTTTCGGGTTTTGTGGAAGTTATGACTTAGACTAAATGACCTACTAAAAGTGGATATTAATTAAAATAATTAAAATTTCCAGTGATTTAACTCAATTTGTGAAAGAAACGAAATCTTAAAAACGGTTAGTACTCGGTGTTGTAAAAAGTGAAAAAAAATGTTATTTGAAATAGTGCAACATTATTCCATGTTATTCACCAAGATATGTTCTAAGTTCGTTATGCAGTAAATATTTATTAAATAAGAAATGAGAACTATATTCACAAATTTCTTTGCCCCAACTTACCCCGAGTGAACTCTAGTGAGATCGGGTGTAGATACAACGCCTTTAGCTTTCATATTTACCAAAAGATGCAATTGCATCCAAGTGGTATGATCAATGAATTAAATTAAATCAGAAGATCAGCAAAGATAGAAAAATAGCCGACATGATTTCAAGCACAAACAGAAGTCCAAGGACCGAAATCATGAAATCTAGCTTCGATGACATCCAAATATAGGGCAGTGAATTGAAACCCTTGTCAGGAAGTGAACACCCCAAGGCTTGAATATTTATATGAAATAATAATAATAATTTTTTGATATTCCAGCTTTAGTAAGTACATACATTAAACCTCGATTTCATTCCCTACTTGAATATTATGTTATTTCACGTGTTTGTTTTCCGTTCTCTTGATATTTGACATTGCCATTGATAAAAATGGTAAACACAAGTGTACTTAAAATTTAAAATTTTTCAATTTTTGAAAAGCGAATCGGATTAACTACTTATTCACTTTTCTTTCCAATAAATCCTTGTATTGTGAGAGTAATAGTATCTTTTGCCGTAGGTTCAGCCTGATTGTAGGAACTCAATCGCAATTGCCAATCTTCACACGTGAGTCCTAATTGAGGTCATTTAAGCCCAATCCATATAAAACCTTAGGCATCTCGACTTTTTTGAACCTTCATTTAGCACTTAATTAAAAAGTTGAACAATGCTATTTTCGAAATTACCTTCTTGAATAAATAATCGTTCATTAAAGTTTTTTTGCCTTAATATTATATCACCCAATACTCATTTTACCTTGAAGATGCAATATTCAGCACATATAAGTTGCCTAATGTTATCAGGTTCTAAGTTCGTGTTTTTCCAATCTTTTTGAATGAATATGAATCATGTCGTGGGTCGTTGACGTAGCGGCTAACGCGCTCATCTACGAGGGCAGAGAAGATAACTGAGAAACTCAAGCTGAGTCAGTAAATTGAGTATCAGAATCTGAGCTCCTCACTAGGTAGAACTCAAGATAAGTGTTGGGTAGTGCTTCCCAAATTGGCTTTAGAGTTTACAACAAGTTAGTGGCAAGCTTTAATAAAAATGGGCGAGAACTGTTGCGCGAATAGAGAATTTACAGACTTCTTCAAATATCAAATGTCATTTTTATATGGAAATGTAGATATCAATAAGTATACGAGAGAAATAACGGATTTGTAATTATAATCGCGGTTATGGAGTCTTTACTTGGGGTGTGTACTTTCTTTCACAGTTAAGGAAAATTAAAATTACATTTTCAAATGGGAGATTAATGAAATATAATCGAATACAATCCTTCATTCATAAAAGTCAGTATCGACTGCAAAATTCACTCACTGCCCTGAAAGACATTCAAATGCTCACAAAAGTGACAAGAAACGGGATATTAATGGCGAAAAGCCTCCACAACCCCGGATCAAAAGTATCATAGTTTAAAGGTCTAGATCGTTGAGAGTATTTGTCTTTTTAAATAGTTTAACTTGCTCTACTGTGTCCTTGGAATACTTATTTAATGAACATCGAAATTTTAAAAGACAATACCATTTTACAATATCAATCTTTTTGCTAAATGTGCGTACTTAAATTTGTTAAGTAATAAAATTTACATTGTTTTAGTCACTAACACGTCAGCAGAACATAGGTAGATGGCGAAAGAAAGGCGTCCAAAAGGGGGTGAAAGACTTAAGCAAAGATAATTGCTTAGTGGGTTAGGAAAGTCAACTTTCGAAGGAGTTGATTAGATAGTTAGTTGTTATGTAGAAATAGTAATGTTAATAGATTTAGTTCACACATCTCCCTTTTCTTCACCAGAACATCGACGCATTATCGGCGCCTACAAAGGAGGAATTAACAAAAACCATGTCAAAAACTGTCTGGTTCTCAGACGTCTGTCGCATTTATGACTTTGCTATTGTGTTATTATTATATGACAGTAATTACACCCAATAAAAGAGGATATGATTTGGAACTTACAGTGGAGGAATAAACGCAGGTGGTCTAGGCTGAACAAACGAATACAAAGGGTTATATACACTTTCTTGTGATTAAACTGAGACACATTTGTTCTAAAAGCATGATAATTGTTCTGTCGTTTTAACGAATCTATTCATGCTTCCACTTGCATTTAGAGCGATTCCATTAACTTTCTAATTAATTGGGTGTGGAACATATAAAAGCTTTGCAATAATCTTAAAAGATATGCCCTTTCGCCTTATATAAGCCATTCAAATTCTATTGAATCAAAGTAAATTGCTCTATAAATATACGCTATTGAATGACAGAGTTAAAATGCATTTATTATTACCCATATAATAATTTTGAATTCGTGAGTGTGTGTACACGCGAATATATTAATGGTAAATATAATCAACCATGGGAAAACTATCGAGTTAGTAACTCAGTGCAATGTTTTATATTAAAAAAAAAACAATAGAAAACGATTAGTGAGACATAGGAAAATATCGATACCTGGATCACGTAATCATTATAAAGTTTATATAGCATTGACTCCTTTTCATCGTGAATGGGAGACCTTTGATCGATCTGAAAGAGATTTCATTTCGATTGTGAAGTAAAGAGGAGGGAGGGGGTGTGAACTTGTGAAATACTTCCTTGAAAATGTTGTAATTAGTAAACTCAGAACAAGTGATGTTGATGTTAATGATTATTTCACCCATTATTATAGATTTGCTAATATTTAGTAACATCGATGATAAAAGACAGTGGGTTAAAGGGGGGAATAGCCTATTTATGTCATTTCATTTGAATGGCTTAATGCTCGGATACATGGAAAATCTACTGCACCATGTTCTACTAGTTTGTTATGGTAAGTAGGGTTTATTCAATGTAGGAAAAGGAAGCCAAAAGTGTGTATTTTTTTAAGCGTCATATGCGCATGTCCTTAATCAAGTTAATATGATTCTGTATGTGCGTGACCCTATAACTAGGGTTGCTGGGGGGCCATTTTTATGATGTTCTGATCCATTCTGTGTTGGTGTAGGGCCTGCTTGCGATGCCCTTGAGATTGCTTTGTTACTCCATTCAAATGGCTAAGTGGATATCATTAAAAGAGCGTTACAAAGTAGAATTTGCTTTAAGCAGTTGTTATTCTGGTTATATTCATTTTAAAGTTGGCAAGGGGATGAGATATAGGTTAATGGAGGCCCCCAAAAGCAGAATCAAACAGGAGCTTATTATATTCTGAAATATATATGTCGAGGCGGTTATTACTTGTTAATTATACAGATTAGATGGCGATGATGTAAGATGGATGACTTTTATTTGGGAACAAGAAGATAAGTCATCCAAGTACACATTCTCGGTACCTCAAATTCGGCGTGTCCATTTTTGCTGCAATCCGATGTTTGTTCATCGATACTGCCCGAGGAGGAAGCGATTGAACTCCCCTCCTCACTGGCCTGTAACGATAATATTTATTCGAACTGCAGTTAAAAAGAACCTCAAGAAGGGATACTTCGATTCCCAAATACAACTAGAAAATCAATGGGGCTCATTTTGGTGAACAAGATTTGATGCTCACTTATAAGAAATTATAGTAAATTTCGTGGGAAGAGTGTGAGAAAACTACCTTTAAGCATTTAGCCCATTTCGGCACTAATTATTTCATCCCACGATTAGAACGTAAATAGTTTAGGTATCATAAGAAGGGAATTCCTTCCATAGTACCTTTGGCAAGAATGAAATTTCTTGTGACTTACTTGAACGGTCGGACGCATAAGTGGATGAGGTGGAGATTGCCAACCGATCTCGTCACTTGCTGAGTATCTTTTAGGTGATAAGGAGCCATTACGGTGATTTTTCATCAAATTTCGAGGTATTTGGTAATTATTGGGATTTCGTTCACACGCGCCTAGTTTGCCTATACGAAGTGAACGGTTGATCCCGTGTGTTGGTGACGCCCGACCACCTTTTGGACTGCGAGACACGCAAACCACATCGCCACCCAAATTTGATTCCATACTGCCTTCTGAAGAAGAATACCTCAGATTGCTATAGTGATTTTCATTTCTAGTGACCTTCTTAATGTGGGGGTATTTGCCATCGCCCATTGGGTTCATTCCCCTCGCGTTCGTATACTTGCAAAGACGCAACAAGGATTCATTATCCCTCTTTGCCAAATCTGGACAGAAACATCTCTCAATGCAGCCTGGATGCCATGGACTTCCCGTATTGGGATACTGGGGGACAGTTCTCTGAAGACCTTGTTAAAAAGAGATTACGCGTATTATTGATTGTAAATTAAGTAGTATAAGTGTGATTGCAAATTTTAGCGGTCAACCTCTGGCATCCGCCGCTGCTTCACTAGACAACAGGAACCAGCGAAGATTGTTGTACTTTGAGCGCATCCAATAGCGATCCACCTTTTCATTAGTTACTCCGCAGGTTGAATTGCGTAGAACTGATTCCAGGGATTGTTGAAGCGATTTCGCTAAAGATAGGCATTCCTAGTAAAAGAAAAGGTAAATTTGCCCAAGGATATGTGATGCAATATTTGAGGAATATGATTTTGAGCAATTTAAAGGTACGGCATTTAATGAAAATTAGCCAATCAAAATATCGTAACACGGGAATTGATGTGCCAATTACAAGGCAGGTTCCATAAAATCTACAAGATCATTTCTTTGAAAAATACAGTGGTTAATTACTATTGCAGTCTTTTAAAGCCCCTAACGAGAATTTAATGAGTAAAGTGTGTAGTAGTTAGGCTTTCTATATCTATACATTATGGTAATCTAACTTTAACAATAGGCATACAATTTGAGAGTGGGAAAGGGAATTCAGTCCAGAGAAACAGGACTTTAAATCTGCACACTAACTTTCAAAATCCAAAGTGATGTTGAGTTATGTCCCAATGATGGCACTATTATTATTGACCACCTTTTACTCATCTCTATCTTTTGTAAGATTGAAATTAAACCGAAAGTGGTATTGGAACTCCGTTTAGATCGACATTGTCATTAGAAGTAAAAAACCCTGTAGATGAGATATGAGCAGTGCTCTCTTTCCTTCGGCTCTTCTCACGCAGTTGGTAGACTTGGACTTTACTGCTTTTGCTGCCTGGATCTCTCTTTCGGAGGGAATTTAAGCCTTTTTTGGCCACTTTGGCCTCGAGAGAAGAAACGCTTAAATAGAAGATCTCATGACACCAGGTGGTTTGAAAGAAATATGTTGACAATTAGTACTTGGGAAACCTCTCATGACAGTCTGAAAACTGCAATTCATGCCAAAAACTGATCACCTAATTAGTGAATATGGAGTATTTGGCAGAATCTCCTAAGCAGATTCTTGAAGGTTCAGGAGATCATTTCTGATTTGTGGTGCAGGGAATTGTCATTGTTTCAAGAATTGTCCATTTTCGGGGGAATAACTATGTCTATCTGGTTTACTTCTCCTAATCGATATCGATAAACTTCGGCTGTAACTGTTCCGTCTGGTTTAAGCAAAATACATGATGATTCATTGCACTTAAATTCCATCAAAAGCGGAAAAAAAGTAAAATTTTCTAAGAGTTAAGTCTGTTTTGTCTTGGATGTTTGATTTAAGACAACTGTTGTTGCTTATTTTTTAGATAATAACAAATAACTCATTCTTTGTAATGTGTTGGAGAACTGTTGCGGTGGCACCAAAATTCCCATCCTGTTTAAATTACCCACACACACTTCAAGTGACATTGCGCCTTAGACTATGAATAAGCGAGTTTTTACGATAATTATTCCCTACTTAACTCACCCGACTCAGCCATGGATTTTGATACGACATCATCATGATTTGTACGTAAACTTGATTCTGGCCCAGCATTTCTGTTCCTCTTGCCCGATATAATTGTTGCTTTTTAAAATCAAGCTTGACCATAACCTCGGTTAATGACTTTATTAACTAGGTAGGTATTTAAGTATTGTTCAAAGAAAAGTAGTGGAAGTATTTGAGGTCCCTGTTGGCTAAAGGGTCAGGTCTTTCCATACTTCTCACTAAATTGAAACTTATTGCTCAAATAATTTTGAACAATTTATTTAATGCGAAAAATACGATTTAATTTGAAATCCTTTCTGTTTAAAATGCTCAGTGTAAACTCATCAACCAAAGAAACATTTTGGGAAAATAATAACTGGTTTACAAATATACCTGGTAATTAAAATTTACCCTCAAGTAATACAATTCTCCGGAAGTCTACATGGCAAGAATCATGTGGTTCTGATGAATTGAGTCAATTCTCTATTTAGCCTGCATTTGCAATGATGAGCAGACAATTTCCAAATGAAAAGGAAAATTGACGGAGGCTTCAAGTATGCAAATTAAACAATAACCTTCCGATCGTTTACGTAACTACTGACTTTGAAATTTTATTTGAATGTTCAGATTCTTAGATTGGTGGGTGTTGTGTGCGCGTATGCTTACACTGGGAGCAAATTTACGGTGATTTTGTAGCTCTAAGATTTGAAGTGGCTTAATTCATGTTTATATCAAACGGGAAACGCATCGAAATAAAATTTTTTGATGAATGGAATGGGGAGATTAAATACTTGTCAACTTTATCACTCATATATATTTGAATTACTTACAAAAGAAAACGAGTTTGTTATTGATTTAATCCGCGATAATTTGTTTGGAACTAAGCTCAACTTGAGAAAATATTGCCTTATATTAGAACTAAATCTCATTTAGTCCAATCATTCTCCTCATCTGCCGTTTATCATTAAAATTTGTATTACTGGGTGACAATCACCCTAATCATGTGTTTTTATGCTTCCAAGCTTTAATCCCATTATAAGTGGACCACTTTTAAAAGGTCATGTATCCCTAAGCGCGCATTTGAGTAGGAGAAAGAGGGGGAGGAGGAGGGGGAGAAGGGGGAGGAGGTGAAGTGATATAAATAAAACCAAAAGTTGGAGGATTTATTCCAACATAATACACTATAATGTAAACTATAAATTCAATTTCCCAAAATGCCCTGATTGTTCCTTTTAACTGCAAAATAATTGGTGGATATTAGTATTTAAAAAAGGGATTAGTATTCTTTCTGATTGATACACTATACCAAATGCACTCGCATTCACTACCGCACAGTTGAATGAATATTTGAGGAGAATTAAGGTAGTAAAGAGCAATAGGTTCACGAATGTGACGCTATCGATCAAATATTACCAGTCAGTAGGTAAAGATTGTCAGAGTGCATTCAAAATATCCGATACGATTCGCAGGTTCCCTCGCTTCATTGTAATAGAGCTTAAAAGTAATAATTTTTTGTTGAATCCTTATGCATCTACATTGTTTTTACAAAATTTATCACTGATCTCTAAGAGTTAATGACTTCGACCTCACATTGGCGTTCGAATTGTTTTTCCCCGATGTAACCATAGGTCATCATTGAGAACCTTCTTGCTTCCCCAAATGTCTTACTTTAATTAGCGGTGAAAGATAATGCATCGATCTATTAATACTTCTTAATCCAATGACTTTATGCTACGCAAAAATAAATGGAATAGTAATTCCCACATCTAGTATTAATTTGGTTCCTTTAAATACTAAAATGTAAAAATCCTGTACGCGGAAATAGGTATTATATCCGTATTCATCAACATCCCAGTTAAAAATGCATTAATGAAAAAACGATATATAGATATTTTTCGTTGAATTGAATAAATAGAACCATCTTGCGTGAACTCTTGTGTCTTTTGCTAGGAATTAATCAAGGCGATATATTCAAGTTTCCAACTAGATCAACAAATCTTGAATCGGACTGAAATTGAACCAATCATAAGCCCGGGAATCAAATGATAAAAATTGGCATTTTGGAGCATTTTTATATCAAAGAATTAATTATGCAAAACATCCATCACACCTCCCCCTCCCTCCTGCTCCGACTAAAGGAAGCTGTCAGATAAATAATTCCAGGATATAAACATGGCCTCTCTCTTGACCTCATGTTTCGACTCCCATTTTTATCAATTTACTCCCCTCCCCCCCCCCCCCCCCCCCCTAACACACCCTGTCCTCAAATATCATTTAATAACTTTAACTTTAAGTTACTATTGGAAATAATAAATTAAAAACCTATTATTCCAACTGAAGCAAAAATATTTCTCAAGTTTGGGATGATGTTTTTCCCACCTTTTCCCCAAATAATTAACTGAAAATGAACTCCACTGACATGGAGACTTCCATCGTAAATTTGTTAGTAGAATTTCTAACTCGAATTGCCTAAAATTAAGTTCTTGAATAAATAATAACTGTATTGGTTCGGAGCAAGTAAAATTGGTTTGAGTGACTTTGAAAAAAGTGTTCACCAAAAACCTTCAAAAGGTGCAAAGTTACAGCATTTGCTTCAGAAAAACTACCACTTTCAGTATGAAAACTTAAAACCTTTCCAGTTATTTTTTCTGCATGATCTTAAATCGTTGCGCTTTTATCCCATAACCAAAGCAAAAATTCCCTCCTCTTCCAACCCCCCTCCCCACTCTCCAACCCACCCACCCACCCACCCAATTTCTCTTGAATCGATTAGATATAATCTCCTGACCAGAAGTAAAAATGTAACTCACACAAAAAGAGTCAATACTGAAACGTCATACTGATCGATAAGAGCAACTTCATCTTTCAAAAGTCAACCACTGTCACAGCTTTATAGATTAAATAGTTCCTTCTAAAACTGAGAAAGTACATTTCTGGCAATTTTGGAAGGAAAAAATGGAACCACAAAGGGTATTTATTAATGGTCATGTGATTAATATCACACGCATCGACCGAATCATTTAAACGGAGAATTCGTAAAAAATGGAGTTTCTCTATATGCGCACATTTTCTACTTCGTCGTCGGCTTTTTTTTCATTTCTTTCGACTTTGAGGTCAGACTCCGCAATTGCCGCATTCTCACTTTGGAATTCCAGGTTTAATTGCGCGAAAAAAAGTGAGGTTGAAAGACCTTACGGTAACATTCCCCCTCCCCCCCCCCTACTCCGCCACCAATCTGTTTTGAGAATATATTCGATTTAAATTAATTTCAATTTTATAGTTAAATTAATTAAATTAAATTGATTTCATCCATCTTTAATCAGTTACAAGGTATTGTCGCTTTCATAAACGTTGTAATTTAACTAGTAGTCTTCTAACATAAAAATCATAAATAATTTATCTTCTTCCAAAATTAATTATTTTTGCTCCACTAACTGGTAAATAAGGCTTTGCTGAAACAAAGCCAGTTATAAGGACAAGTTTCATCAGGTTTTTTTTTGTTTTAAAGTCAGTTAATTAAGCAGCATCGAGTGGTATTTTCTGCGACGCACATGGAAACATTCAGCAAATAGTGGACCCTGATCCATTCTAAAATGTCTACCATTATCACTTAAAGGGAAAATCTGTCTGAGAGACATCACGATGTTTCACGTGAAGAGACAACCTTTAATACAAAACTATCGCGAAATCCTGATTTTTTTCGGGAAGTCGAATA